GACCCTCCACACCTGCCTCGTCCAGACCCTCCACACCTGCCTCGTCCAGACCCTCCACACCTGCCTCGTCCAGACCCTCCACACCTGCCTCGTCCAGACCCTCCACACCTGCCTCGTCCAGACCCTCCACACCTGCCTCGTCCAGACCCTCCACACCTGCCTCGTCCAGACCCTCCACACCTGCCTCGTCCAGACCCTCCACACCTGCCTCGTCCAGACCCTCCACACCTGCCTCGTCCAGACCCTCCACACCTGCCTCGTCCAGACCCTCCACACCTGCCTCGTCCAGACCCTCCACACCTGCCTCGTCCAGACCCTCCACACCTGCCTCGTCCAGACCCTCCACACCTGCCTCGTCCAGACCCTCCACACCTGCCTCGTCCAGACCCTCCACACCTGCCTCGTCCAGACCCTCCACACCTGCCTCGTCCAGACCCTCCACACCTGCCTCGTCCAGACCCTCCACACCTGCCTCGTCCAGACCCTCCACACCTGCCTCGTCCAGACCCTCCACACCTGCCTCGTCCAGACCCTCCACACCTGCCTCGTCCAGACCCTCCACACCTGCCTCGTCCAGACCCTCCACACCTGCCTCGTCCAGACCCTCCACACCTGCCTCGTCCAGACCCTCCACACCTGCCTCGTCCAGACCCTCCACACCTGCCTCGTCCAGACCCTCCACACCTGCCTCCTCCAGACCCTCCACACCTGCCTCCTCCAGACCCTCCACACCTGCCTCCTCCAGACCCTCCACACCTGCCTCCTCCAGACCCTCCACACCTGCCTCGTCCAGACCCTCCACACCTGCCTCGTCCAGACCCTCCACACCTGCCTCGTCCAGACCCTCCACACCTGCCTCGTCCAGACCCTCCACACCTGCCTCGTCCAGACCCTCCACACCTGCCTCGTCCAGACCCTCCACACCTGCCTCGTCCAGACCCTCCACACCTGCCTCGTCCAGACCCTCCACACCTGCCTCGTCCAGACCCTCCACACCTGCCTCGTCCAGACCCTCCACACCTGCCTCGTCCAGACCCTCCACACCTGCCTCGTCCAGACCCTCCACACCTGCCTCGTCCAGACCCTCCACACCTGCCTCGTCCAGACCCTCCACACCTGCCTCGTCCAGACCCTCCACACCTGCCTCGTCCAGACCCTCCACACCTGCCTCGTCCAGACCCTCCACACCTGCCTCGTCCAGACCCTCCACACCTGCCTCGTCCAGACCCTCCACACCTGCCTCGTCCAGACCCTCCACACCTGCCTCGTCCAGACCCTCCACACCTGCCTCGTCCAGACCCTCCACACCTGCCTCGTCCAGACCCTCCACACCTGCCTCGTCCAGACCCTCCACACCTGCCTCGTCCAGACCCTCCACACCTGCCTCGTCCAGACCCTCCACACCTGCCTCGTCCAGACCCTCCACACCTGCCTCGTCCAGACCCTCCACACACCTGCCTCGTCCAGACCCTCCACACCTGCCTCGTCCAGACCCTCCACACCTGCCTCGTCCAGACCCTCCACACCTGCCTCGTCCAGACCCTCCACACCTGCCTCGTCCAGACCCTCCACACCTGCCTCGTCCAGACCCTCCACACCTGCCTCGTCCAGACCCTCCACACCTGCCTCGTCCAGACCCTCCACACCTGCCTCGTCCAGACCCTCCACACCTGCCTCGTCCAGACCCTCCACACCTGCCTCGTCCAGACCCTCCACACCTGCCTCGTCCAGACCCTCCACACCTGCCTCGTCCAGACCCTCCACACCTGCCTCGTCCAGACCCTCCACACCTGCCTCGTCCAGACCCTCCACACCTGCCTCGTCCAGACCCTCCACACCTGCCTCGTCCAGACCCTCCACACCTGCCTCGTCCAGACCCTCCACACCTGCCTCGTCCAGACCCTCCACACCTGCCTCGTCCAGACCCTCCACACCTGCCTCGTCCAGACCCTCCACACCTGCCTCGTCCAGACCCTCCACACCTGCCTCGTCCAGACCCTCCACACCTGCCTCGTCCAGTCCAGACCCTCCACACCTGCCTCGTCCAGACCCTCCACACCTGCCTCTCCAGACCCTCCACACCTGCCTCTCCAGACCCTCCACACCTGCCTCTCCAGACCCTCCACACCTGCCTCGTCCAGACCCTCCACACCTGCCTCGTCCAGACCCTCCACACCTGCCTCGTCCAGACCCTCCACACCTGCCTCGTCCAGACCCTCCACACCTGCCTCGTCCAGACCCTCCACACCTGCCTCGTCCAGACCCTCCACACCTGCCTCGTCCAGACCCTCCACACCTGCCTCGTCCAGACCCTCCACACCTGCCTCGTCCAGACCCTCCACACCTGCCTCGTCCAGACCCTCCACACCTGCCTCGTCCAGACCCTCCACACCTGCCTCGTCCAGACCCTCCACACCTGCCTCGTCCAGACCCTCCACACCTGCCTCGTCCAGACCCTCCACACCTGCCTCGTCCAGACCCTCCACACCTGCCTCGTCCAGACCCTCCACACCTGCCTCGTCCAGACCCTCCACACCTGCCTCGTCCAGACCCTCCACACCTGCCTCGTCCAGACCCTCCACACCTGCCTCGTCCAGACCCTCCACACCTGCCTCGTCCAGACCCTCCACACCTGCCTCGTCCAGACCCTCCACACCTGCCTCGTCCAGACCCTCCACACCTGCCTCGTCCAGACCCTCCACACCTGCCTCGTCCAGACCCTCCACACCTGCCTCGTCCAGACCCTCCACACCTGCCTCGTCCAGACCCTCCACACCTGCCTCGTCCAGACCCTCCACACCTGCCTCGTCCAGACCCTCCACACCTGCCTCGTCCAGACCCTCCACACCTGCCTCTCCAGACCCTCCACACCTGCCTCGTCCAGACCCTCCACACCCTCGTCCAGACCCTCCACACCTGCCTCGTCCAGACCCTCCACACCTGCCTCGTCCAGACCCTCCACACCTGCCTCGTCCAGACCCTCCACACCTGCCTCGTCCAGACCCTCCACACCTGCCTCGTCCAGACCCTCCACACCTGCCTCGTCCAGACCCTCCACACCTGCCTCGTCCAGACCCTCCACACCTGCCTCGTCCAGACCCTCCACACCTGCCTCGTCCAGACCCTCCACACCTGCCTCGTCCAGACCCTCCACACCTGCCTCGTCCAGACCCTCCACACCTGCCTCGTCCAGACCTGCCTCGTCCAGACCCTCCACACCTGCCTCGTCCAGACCCTCCACACCTGCCTCGTCCAGACCCTCCACACCTGCCTCGTCCAGACCCTCCACACCTGCCTCGTCCAGACCCTCCACACCTGCCTCCTCCCCTCCACACCTGCCTCGTCCAGACCCTCCACACCTGCCTCGTCCAGACCCTCCACACCTGCCTCGTCCAGACCCTCCACACCTGCCTCGTCCAGACCCTCCACACCTGCCTCGTCCAGACCCTCCACACCTGCCTCGTCCAGACCCTCCACACCTGCCTCGTCCAGACCCTCCACACCTGCCTCGTCCAGACCCTCCACACCTGCCTCCTCCAGACCCTCCACACCTGCCTCCTCCAGACCCTCCACACCTGCCTCCTTCCCTTGGCATGCTCCCCCATGCCTGTACCCTGTGGCGTGGGCAGGTGTGGCCAGGTGGACACGCTACTCCGGGGGACAGGTGTGGGGGGGGACTACTGACCCATGAGTCAGTTACTCGTGAGTCAGTTACTCGTGAGTCAGTTACTCGTGAGTCAGTTACTCGTGAGTCAGTTACTCGTGAGTCAGTTACTCGTGAGTCAGTTACTCACGGGTCAGTTACTCACGGGTCAGTTACTCACGGGTCAGTTACTCACGGGTCAGTTACTCGTGGGTCAGTTACTCGTGGGTCAGCTACTCACGAGTCAGCTACTCACGAGTCAGCTACTCACGAGTCAGCTACTCACGAGTCAGCTACTCACGAGTCAGTTACTCACGAGTCAGTTACTCACGGGTCAGTTACTCACGGGTCAGTTACTCACGGGTCAGTTACTCACGAGTCAGTTACTCACGGGTCAGTTACTCACGAGTCAGTTACGAGTCAGTTACTCACGAGTCAGTTACTCACGGGTCAGTTACTCACGGGTCAGTTACTCACGGGTCAGTTACTCACGGGTCAGTTACTCACGGGTCAGTTACTCACGGGTCAGCTACTCACGGGTCAGTTACTCACGGGTCAGTTACTCACGGGTCAGTTACTCACGGGTCAGTTACTCACACGGGTCAGCTACTCACGAGTCAGTACTACTCACGGGTCAGTTACTCACGGGTCAGTTACTCACGGGTCAGTTACTCACGGGTCAGGGTCAGTTACTCACGGGTCAGTTACTCACGGGTCAGTTACTCACGGGTCAGTTACTCACGGGTCAGTTACTCACGGGTCAGTTACTCACGGGTCAGCTACTCACGGGTCAGCTACTCACGAGTCAGTTACTCACGAGTCAGTTACTCATCATGGGTGCTGGGTCAGCACTCAGCATCACTATGGGTAACAATTGCTTCACTTCCTTAAAGCAACGAGGGGGGGGGGGGGATGAGTCACGTACTCATACGAAACCTTTACATCTTTCCCTAATCATAACAACAGGTTATGAGCCCAGCACGAGGTTGTTCACAACCACCTTGGGGTTGTGGAGTTCACCAGCTCGTAAACTAGTGTAAACAAAGCCGCCATGATTGAGGAAAGATGTAAAGGTTTCGTAACAAAGGCTGCACAAACGCTTAATAAATCCTGGACCTGAAAATCCTCGTCAGATGGCCGAAAATTTAATAAATTATTAATATATAACTCAACGTAAATATAACCAATATTGATTATCTAATCAATTTATATTAACCAATCTAGATTATCTAATCAATTTAAAATAATCAATGTGGATTATCTAATCAATTTAGATTATCTTAATATAATTGGGCGTGAATAATTCTTAGTCCTCAATATTTTGGACATGGAAATTGTCTATGGTCATAAATAGACCATGGGATCATCACATGGACCATGGGACCATCACATGGACCATATGGGATCATCACATGGACCATGGGACCATCACATGGACCATGGGACCATCACATGGACCATGGGACCATCACATGGACCATGGGACCATCACATGGACCATGGGACCATCACATGGACCATATGGGACCATCACATGGACCATATGGGACCATCACATGGACCATATGGGACCATCACATGGACCATATGGGACCATCACATGGACCATATGGGACCATCACATGGACCATATGGGACCATCACATGGACCATATGGGACCATCACATGGACCATATGGGACCATCACATGGACCATATGGGACCATCACATGGACCATATGGGACCATCACATGGACCATATGGGACCATCACATGGACCATATGGGACCATCACATGGACCATATGGGACCATCACATGGACCATATGGGACCATCACATGGACCATATGGGACCATCACATGGACCATATGGGACCATCACATGGACCATATGGGACCATCACATGGACCATATGGGACCATCACATGGACCATATGGGACCATCACATGGACCATATGGGACCATCACATGGACCATATGGGACCATCACATGGACCATATGGGACCATCACATGGACCATATGGGACCATCACATGGACCATATGGGACCATCACATGGACCATATGGGACCATCACATGGACCATATGGGACCATCACATGGACCATATGGGACCATCACATGGACCATATGGGACCATCACATGGACCATATGGGACCATCACATGGACCATATGGGACCATCACATGGACCATATGGGACCATCACATGGACCATATGGGACCATCACATGGACCATATGGGACCATCACATGGACCATATGGGACCATCACATGGACCATATGGGACCATCACATGGACCATATGGGACCATCACATGGACCATATGGGACCATCACATGGACCATATGGGACCATCACATGGACCATATGGGACCATCACATGGACCATATGGGACCATCACATGGACCATATGGGACCATCACATGGACCATATGGGACCATCACATGGACCATATGGAACCATCACATGGACCATATGGGACCATCACATGGACCATATGGGACCATCACATGGACCATATGGGACCATCACATGGACCATATGGGACCATCACATGGACCATATGGGACCATCACATGGACCATATGGGACCATCACATGGGCCATGAGAAGGCCACGTGGGACGAGGATGGGACCACCAATGGCCTTGCCATGGGCTAGTGGGTGGCAAGGACCCCTAGTGAAGGTCTGGCTAGGACGTGGTTGCCTCCTGGACCCCGACCCACCTGTTCTCTCTCTCTCACCTGTCTAAACCTGTCCCTTCCGTCCCCCTTACCTGTCCCCCTCCCCACCTATCTCCTAGCCTCACCTGTCTCCTAGCTCCTCCTGTCTCCTAGCTCCTCCTGTCTCCTAGCCCCACCTGTCTCCTAGCCCCACCTGTGTCCTAGCTCCACCTGTCTCCTGGCTCAATCTGTCTCCTAGCCCCACCTGTCTCCTAGCTCCACCTGTCTCCTAGCTCCACCTGTCTCCTAGCTCCACCTGTCTCCTAGCTCCACCTGTCTCCTAGCTCCACCTGTCCCCTAGCTCCACCTGTCTCCTAGCTCCACCTGTCTCCTAGCCCCACCTGTCTCCTAGCCCCACCTGTCTCCTAGCCCCACCTGTCTCCTAGCTCCACCTGTCTCCTAGCTCCACCTGTCTCCTAGCTCCACCTGTCTCCTGGCTCAATCTGTCTCCTAGCCCCACCTGTCTCCTAGCCCCACCTGTCTCCTAGCCCCACCTGTCGCCTAGCCCTACCTGTCTCCTAGCTCCACCTGTCTCCTAGCTCCACCTGTCTCCTAGCTCCACCTGTCTCCTAGCTCCACCTGTCTCCTAGCCCCACCTGTCTCCTAGCTCCACCTGTCTCCTAGCTCCACCTGTCTCCTAGCTCCACCTGTCCCCTAGCTCCACCTGTCCCCTAGCTCCACCTGTCTCCTAGCTCCACCTGTCTCCTAGCTCCACCTGTCTCCTAGCTCCACCTGTCTCCTAGCCCCACCTGTCTCCTAGCCCCACCTGTCTCCTAGCCTCTCCTGTCTCCTAGCCCCACCTGTCTCCTAGCCCCACCTGTCTCCTAGCCCCACCTGTCTCCTAGCCCCACCTGTCTCCTAGCCCCACCTGTCTCCTAGCCCCACCTGTCTCCTAGCCCCACCTGTCTCCTAGCCCCACCTGTCTCCTAGCCCCACCTGTCTCCTGGCTCAATCTGTCTCCTAGCCCCACCTGTGTCCTAGCTCCACCTGTCGCCTAGCCCCACCTGTCTCCTAGCCCCACCTGTCTCCTAGCCTCTCCTGTCTCCTAGCCCCACCTGTCTCCTAGCCCCACCTGTCTCCTAGCCCCACCTGTCTCCTAGCCCCACCTGTCTCCTAGCCCCACCTGTCTCCTAGCCCCACCTGTCTCCTAGCCCCACCTGTCTCCTAGCCCCACCTGTCTCCTAGCCCCACCTGTCTCCTAGCCCCACCTGCCTTCTAGCACCACCTGTCTCCTAGCTCCACTTGTCTCCTAGCTCCACTTGTCTCCTAGCTCCACTTGTCTCCTAGCCCCACCTGTCTCCTAGCCCCACCTGTCTCCTAGCTCCACCTGTCTCCTAGCTCCACCTGTCTCCTAGCTCCACCTGTCTCCTAGCCCCACCTGTTTCCTAGCCCCACCTGTCTCCTAGCCCCACCTGTCTCCTAGCCCCACCTGTCTCCTAGCCCCACCTGTCTCCTAGCCCCACCTGTCTCCTAGCTCCATCCGTCTCCTAGCCCCACCTGTCTCCTAGCTCCACCTGTCTCCTAGCTCCACCTGTCTCCTAGCTCCACCTGTCTCCTAGCTCCACCTGTCTCCTAGCCCCACCTGTCTCCTAGCCCCACCTGTCTCCTAGCCCCACCTGTCTCCTAGCCCCACCTGTCTCCTAGCCCCACCTGTCTCCTAGCCCCACCTGTCTCCTAGCCCCACCTGTCTCCTAGCTCCACCTAGCTGACGGCTGGGTGGACAGCGCTTCGGATTCGTAGTCCTGAGGTTCCGGGTTCGATCCCCGGTGGAGGCGGAGACAAATGGGCAAAAATGTTTCTTTCACCCTGATGCACCTGTTCACCTAGCAGTAAATAGGCACCTGGGAGTTAGACAGCTGCTACGGGCTGCTTCCTGGGAGTGTGTAACAATAAGGAGGCCTGGTCGAGGACCGGGCCGCGGGGACGCTAAGCCCCGAATAACCTAGTTGTACTCACCTGGTTGTATTCCACATGTACTCACATGTAGTCCATCATGTCTTGGGCCGTCTTTCCAATGAGTTCTGTTTCCCAAGTTATATCTGTTAGGAATTTACTTATCTCCTCATAGTTTCCCTTTCGGAATGCCAGCCTTATTTCTGGTCCCTTTCTTCGACCAGATACTCAAACACCAGAACACTGTGGGGGCATCAGGGTGAAAGAAACATTTTGCCCATTTGTCTCCGCCTCCACCAGGGATCGAACCCGGAACCTCAGAACTACGAATCCGAAGTGCTGTCCACTCAGCTGTGAGGCGCCTACAAGTTGAGGGTGTGTGGGTGGTTGTGCTGGCCCTCAGAGCTGTCAGCTCTCCACGGACGGACAACAGCGCCTCTACCCTAATGCTTGCGTCAAGCATTAGGGTACACACCTGTTGAGTCGTGTGTGTGTGTGGTGTGTGTGTGTGTGTGTGTGTGTGTGTGTGTGTGTGTGTGTGTGTGTGTGTGTGTGTGTGTGTGTGTGTGTGTGTGTGTGTGTGTGTGTGTGTGTGTGTGTGTGTGTGTGTGTGTGTGTGTGTGTGTGTGTGTGTGTGTGTGTGTGTGTGTGTGTGTGTGTGTGTGTGTGTGTGTGTGTGTGTGTGTGTGTGTACTCACCTAGTTGTACTCACCTAGTTGTGTCTGCAGGATCAAGCATTAACTCTTGGCTCCCGCCTTTCCAGCTATCGGTTGTTTACAGCAATGACTCCTGTCCCATTTCCCTATCATACCTGGTTTTAAAAGTATGAATAGTATTTGCTTCCACAACCTGTTTCCCAAGTGCATTCCATTTTTCCACTACTCTCACGCTAAAAGAAAACTTCCTAACATCTCTGTGACTCATCTGAGTTTCCAGTTTCCACCCATGTCCCCTCGTTCTGTTACTATTCCGTGTGAACATTTCATCTATTTCCTCTTTGTCAATTCCTCTGAGTATTTTATATGTCCCTATCATATCTCCTCTCTCCCTTCTTTTTTCTAGTGCCGTAAGTTTCAGTTCCTTCAGACGCTCTTCATATCCCATCCCTCGTAACTCTGGGACAAGCCTCGTCGCAAACCTCTGAACCTTCTCCAGTTTCCTTATGTGTTTCTTCAGGTGGGGGCTCCATGATGGGGCTGCATACTCTAAGACTGGTCTCACGTAGGCAGTGTAAAGTGCCCTAAAAGCCTCCTCACTTAGGTTTCTGAATGAAGTTCTAATTTTCGCCAGTGTAGAGTACGCTGCTGTCGTTATCCTATTTATATGTGCCTCAGGAGATAGATTAGATGTTACGTCCACACCCAGGTCTCTTTCGCGCGTCGTCACAGGTAGGCTGTTCCCCTTCATTGTGTGCTGTCCCTTTGGTCTCCTATCTTCTAGTCCCATTTCCATAACTTTACATTTGCTCGTGTTGAACTCCAGTAGCCATTTCCCTGACCATCTCTGCAACCTGTTTAAGTCCTCTTGGAGGATCCTACAATCCTCGTCTGTCACAACTCTTCTCATTAATTTTGCGTCATCCGCAAACATCGACATGTAGGACTCTACGCCTGTAAACATGTCGTTAACATATACAAGAAAGAGGATTGGTCCCAGCACCGATCCTTGAGGTACTCCACTTGTTACTGTTCGCCAGTCCGACTTTTCGCCCCTTACCATTACCCTCTGGCTCCTTCCTGTTAGGTAGTTCTTCACCCATACTAGGGCCTTTCCGCTTACTCCTGCCTGCCTCTCAAGTTTGTATAGCAGTCTCATGTGCGGTACCGTATCAAAGGCCTTTTGGCAGTCAAGAAATATGCAGTCTGCCCAGCCTTCTCTGTCCTGCCTTATCCTTGTTACTTTATCATAGAATTCTAAAAGGTTTGTTAGGCATGATTTCCCTGTCCAGAACCCATGTTGGTGCTTATTTACAAACCCAATGCTCTCCAGGTGCTCAACAAGTCTTAGCCTAATTATTCTTTCAAGTATTTTGCAGGGGATGCTTGTCAGTGATTCAGGTCTATAGTTAAGTGCCTCCTCCCTATCACCTTTCTTGAAAATCGGTACGACATTTGCCTTCTTCCAGCAACTGGGCAATTCTCCCGACATAAGTGACTCATTAAAGATCATTGCCAGAGGCACGCTGAGGGCCTGCGCTGCCTCTTTTAGTATCCACGGTGGTACTTTGTCTGGTCCAACAGCTTTAGTTACATCTAGAGTTGTCAACTGTTTCATTACCTCCTCTGCTGTTACCTCTATATCTGATCCACCTCTCTTCTAACAATGGGAGCTGCTCAGGCTCGGTAGTGAACACTCCATGGAAACTGGCATTCAGTACCTCGCAGATTTCCTTGTCACTTTCAGTATATGCCCCCTCTGTCTTCCTCAGTCTTGTCACTTGGTCGTTCACCGACATCTTACTTCTTATATGGCTATGTAGTAACTTAGGTTGCTTTTTCGCTTTGCATGTTTGTTGGTTTGTGTTGCCTTGTTTTGTTTACTCTCTCCTTTGTATACTGTATAATGTTGCTGTCATACGCTTGCTTTTGTACATGTTATTGCTTTTGTGGGAGGAACAGTTGGTGTGGGTGGGGACATGGGAGGGGGGGGGGGGGGGATGTTTAAAGGTCTCTGACGCTTGCAAGAGGAAATTCCTGGGAGGGGAGGTGCATCCTCCCTCCCTCCCTTTCCTTCCTTTTCCACCATGCAGTCATGCTATCTCTTGTTTGTTTGTTTGTTTCAGAGAGCGAGAGCAACAGAGAGAGAGAGCGAGAGAGAGCGAGAGCGAGAGAGAGCGAGAGAGAGCGAGAGCGAGAGAGAGCGAGAGAGAGCGAGAGCGAGAGAGAGCAACAGAGAGCAACAGAGAGCGAGAGCGAGAGAGAGCGAGAGAGAGCAAGAGAGAGCAACAGAGAGCGTGAGAGAGCAACAGAGAGCGTGAGAGAGCAACAGAGAGCGAGAGCGAGAGAGAGCGAGAGCGAGAGAGAGCGAGAGAGAGCAAGAGAGAGC